TTCAAATTTGTTAAAATCGCAAGCATTTCATCACAGAATTGTGCAGAATGCAAACAAGGTAATAAAAAAATGGCGGCCATTGCCGCGATGATTTACAAATTGACAAACTATTATAAAACACTTCACATCAAATAAATCAAACTTATTTTGGTAATTTTATATGACAAAATATATCTACTAAATGATAAAACTTGTATTTATTTACAATTAGAGTTATGTGGTTTATTTGTTGAGCAGTTCTGATAGTTTTTCAGTCAGACGCTACCAAAATCTGTAAATCTCAGGAAGTCTCGGGGAGTCCGAGATTTTATCAATTTTATACTGAAAAGCGTATCAGATTCATTTCCCGTTAGATATACTGTTCCCAGGTGTAATCAAACTTTATATATATAGTTAATAGTTCCCAATATTTTTTCTTTCATTTGTAACAAACTAATAAAGATCTGCAACTTATCTATGAAATTCTACAACTTTATCCACACAATGTAATGTAATGAAATATATCCTTTAATACAAATAGATTATTATTTAATGAATTTGCAAATCTGGAACAGGATCAAGTAAAAATTAAAATCAACACACACTAAGACAATAAGTTTATGCAGAATAACAAACAAACCTACCACAAAATTGTTCAAACAATTTACCAAAGAAAAGAAAAAAAATATCCAAAATGTCATTTATCATTAATACAATGTCTTTTAAAGGGGCACTAGCTGTCAAATTCATGTCCACCGATTTGACTCAAATTCTCATATTTGATTTATAACAATGTAAATCATTTATCCAAATTATAAAAAGTCAAATAAACAATTTACAGGTTATGGGCTCGATAATATATTTCGTGTGTATTTTAGTCAAGACGCCACCTAATTAACTGTTGAGTTGACCTCCGAAAACCACTGATGCCCATATAAGTGATATAAACATAAATATAGATATAAATAGAAAGTTAACTTGTGCAATTGGATTTTTCTAGGTCTGTTTAATTTCATATTATAGATTAAAAATATATATGTAAGAATAATTTTTTTATGGATCGAATCAGTCAATCAAATGATTTACCTTTGTTTCACTTTCAATGTTGACATTCTTTTCCTTTAAATAAATGAACACGCACAATGCATGTGTAATCAATCTCTAGCTAAAGGGTTAAATTGAAGTTCACATGAATCTGGATTCAATGAGGTCGAATTATTCACTTGCAAGTGAATAATTCATCATCAATGTTTCTTATCTTATTTCGACAAAATTGAACCATACTGGCTGCTAAAAGCGAATTATTGTTTCACTATTTCACTTTCATTAATGATTGAACATAAAAAAAATCATATTTTATATTCTTATGTTTCTCGTAGCTAGTGCCCCTTTAAAAATCTTTTTTAAAAATGAGTTATTTCCCAACGTACAGAAATGGATTTATTCATCAAAAATTGAACTCTTGGAAAAGGGCTATAACTGACTAACGAGAAAAGCTAAAATCGTGAAAATAGAACTTGACCTTCATTTAGTCACAGGAAACAACATATCAATCTAAATTTGTTTAAAATTGAAAAAATTTCTTCAAAGCGTTTTCATGTAAATGAACGGACACTAATTGGCAACTGCCCGCCCGCCCACCGTACATCGCCAAATCAATAACCGATTTTTACTTCGAAAATCCTGTTAAAAACCGTCTATAGTTATGTATAATACGCACCTCCTCTACCAACTACATTTTTGGGGTAAAAAAATGCGTACTATACACACCTTAAGACAATAACCATCTTAAGACAAAGCAATATCTAACCTTGATGGTAACTGGGAATCATACCTATGAAAATACATGTGAAAAATTGGCACACTTGTAACCCCTTTTTTTGAGTGTCTCAATGAAAAAAAAAATACGTTGATGTTGATTTCTATTTTAAGTTTAATTTGAAATCTAATGAACCATTAATGTTTAGTTTGTTTGTAATGTTATGAATAATTATAACATTGAATTAATCTGCACTTCAAAGGGCACCTTGATTTTATAATAAAATTAACAGATTAAATGCAATTATTAAGACAAATATCATGAATATCATACATGCCATACCTGTAGAATCTTTTAAGGGCTCATGCGTAAGGAAGTTCAATCCTTTTTCAGCCCAACCAAATTCGTACTAGTTCTAAAAACTAAACTTATAACAATCCTGCATTTTATGGGTCACTCTTGGTCGATGAATAATTAAAATTCTAAATGGTTAATATTTAAAAAGTCCAAATTCATCACTAGAACTGGTATTTAATTTCTTCCTAATGCCAATCCACTCATATTAAGAAACAATAAAAAATTTGTAGTAATAAATTGCTTCGCCAAGCGCAGCTGGATACGACCGCAGAGGTCCAACCCTGAACAGTTGGGGCAAAAATGGACACAATATTCGCACTCGTTACAGGTCTGAATTGGGATTGTAATTAAATATTTGACACATAATAGGTTTCTGACACAGAATTACTATAGTCAAAAAACTTAGAATTGGTTATATGATTTGAATTTATATCCAATTTTTTGCTTTGTGCAATAGAAAAGAATAAAATAGAATATTTTTATTTCCCAAATTACAGGGCCCATAAAGGGCATAAAATCAGATACAATTGATTTACATAATTGGTAACAACAACAATAATAGTCACTTGAAAATATATATTTAGTATACATTTGTATTAGCATTGGTCAGAATCAGAGCCAAAAACCACATATATATTGTGAATAAAAGAATAAAATTACATTATATGCATTCATTCTCAAATCATTTACTTGACTTAGTGTCAATATGCATACCTGATTTCCTTAATTCAAAACAGTCACAAATATAACAGCCCAGTTTTTCCATAAGAGTTACATTTTCTTGAGTCAAGAGCCATAAAAATTTAGAAGATTTATTTAAATTTTTAAAATTATAACAATTGTCAGATATGTATTGAAAAAAGTCTTCCCTTTGAGTATCATAAAGAGGACATTCTAACAAAAAATGAAGCTCATCTTCAACTTTACCAAGTGAGCAATTTGAACAAAGACGCTCAGATCTTTCTATATATTTTTTTGAATATCTGTCTGTCTCAATTTTTAAAGAGTGAGCACTTATTCTTAATTTACAAATTGACTGTCTTTTCTTAAAATCCTGTAGTTCTAAATATTTTTCTTTTTTAAAACAATTTTTTATAGAAAAATAAGTACCAAGCTTCCCTTTTTCAGAGTTAATTGTTTGATACTTCAGTCTATTCAAAAATGTTAAATAACTTTCACATAGTTTATTTTTAACATACTGACATAAAGAACCAATTGATTGGTCAAAATTTGGTAAATCAATCTCTCTCTGAATATAATCTATAATACTAGAGTACCATGTATTTACATTAGAAATATGTAATTGTTTACAGCATATGAATGCATCAAATAATAATCCTTCTTTCAAACCTTCCAGTCTATGACAATATTTTAACATTGATAAAATTATAGTAAAATAAATAGGAAATCTACCAAGCTCTGACATCACAGCTATGTTACTGGACTTTCTGTTTACACCAAGAATATATTTCATAAATTTGTTATGAGCTTTTTCAGAGGAATCCTGACCAAAAACTTTTTCCAATATATAATCATTATCTTTTTTTACATGCAGCTGAATCAGTACGAAACCTTCCCCATATTTCACTGCCATATAATAGTATGGGTTTAATTGTATGATCATAAAGATGTAAAAAAGTGGCAATACTAGGGTTAGATGATGACAAGCATCTCTGTAGCTTAAAACATGCTTTTAAAGATTTATTGTATAATTCATCTTTACACTGCTTGAATATACCACTAGATGTAAATGTGATTCCAAGATATCTATATAATTTTGCACATACTATCTCTTTACCTCCAAAATGTAAACAGCATTTTAAGAATTTTCCTGGCTTGTTAAAAATTATACTTTTTGTCTTTTTTAGATTAACATCAAAACACCATTCTAAACAATATTCATGTAACATATTAATTCTCTTTTGCAAACCTTCCTGTGTTTCTAAAAAATTACGACATCATCAGCATACGTAAGACAATCTACTCTACGGTTATTAATAGTTACTGGATCAGGACATGACAAAAACTTGTCAGGTAGATCATTAATAAATATTTTGAAAATATTTGGGCTTAAAACATCACCTTGTCTAACCCCTATAAATGATTTAAAACATGGGGTCATTTCATTATCAATTTTAACACATAGGTCACTTTTATTATACATATCTTTAATGATAGAATAAAACTTTCCAGTAATATTGTTTGTTAATAGCTTATATCTGATACCCTCATGAATCACTTTATCAAAAGCCTGTTTAAAATCTACAAAACAGGCAAATAGTTTACCCCCCTTTTTACTAATATATTTATCAATAATGGTTTTTTAAAACAAAAACATGATCAGATGGTCTACATTTTTTTGAAAATCCAATTTGACATGGATTAATCAATGATTCCTTTACCAAAAAATGATCTAGTCTATTATTCAAAACAGAGTTAAATAATTTACCAACACAAGAATTAATGGCAATGCCACAATAATTATCTCTTTGACTTGGATCACCAGACTTAAAAACAGCAGATAAATACACTATGCTGTTGCGAACTGCCCCCCTTCTTTTTTTTTTGCTATTTTGTGCAATACACTATGCTGTTGCGAATTTACCCCCCCCCACCCCCAAAAAAAAAATAAAATTGTTTTACCCCCCTAAACCTAAAGGGTCGGATTCTTAAGTGCTATTGAGGGGCTAAAAATATATTATTTCGCTTTGATTTCGTTTCTTCATTTTCCATTTCATTTCGTTTCGTTATATTACGTTTCGTTTTGATTCCATTTCTCACTTTATAAGTACCCCTTTATCATTTTATGGGCGTTGTAATTTGGGAAAAAAATATTCTATTCTATTCTATAATTTGGAAGTCAAAACACATAGAAATGATGTCATGGGAATAACTAAATAAATACCTGTAAAATGCTGTTTCCAAAACGGAAATAATCTTGTGGCTTATTTTTTGTAAACATGATAGCTTCAGTTCCTCTTTGGACGAATTTATATCTCCATTTGAAACATGACCATTGGCATTTGTGCTGTTGATTGCGCCGTTTTTCTTCCCATCCATTTTCTTCAAAATTCAGTGAAAAATGTAAGTATCCACGGTGGGTGCATATATGCCAGTTTTATTGTTTGGTTATCTAAAGCTAATAAATTTAAAGTGCACGTTTCAGTTCACGTTTTGCATGTAAACAAACCATCCGTTAACCAAAACCTGGTACCAATGCACAATATGCATTAACAGAAACAGTAAAGTAAATAACTAGGTACCAGTTTGTTATATAACAATAGAAATATACAAAATAAAACTGGTAAAGATACGTTTACGTTTTCGAAAAAAAGTTGTTTTACATAGAAACTAAATTTTCTGATCCATTGCTTTTAAAAAGGGGGGACCAGGCGACATTAGGAGTGAAACATGTAAACTTGTAAAAAAAACCTATGTTTAACCATATATGTAGCTCCACAGGGGAGGGGGCTGCCCCTAAATCCCTGCCTCTGTATAACACTCCCTTACAAAAAAATGTCTTTTTACCATTCAAATGTCAAATCATTAATAAATGTCCATTAGCTTTCCATTATTTTTAGTATTTTTTGTTAAACTATAACTGTTTACTGCCACTGAAGGAAAAAAACAAGACAAAAAATATTTGAAAAATGCCGCCTGTTCATGCAGTAATATATCAATGATCATCAATGACATCATTATAACATAAAATATCTTACATTAGAAAATATAGGTCTATATCCTGAGTATACAACAAATTGACAATTTAATCTCTATCCTTATCTGTTTAAGGCACCACCCATTCGTCTTTTAAGGGGTCAGAATTAAGAGGGGGGCAATTTTTTTTAAATAAATTCATTATTGCTGAATTGCTTAATGCATATATCAATTGAAAGACCAAAGGCGGAAGATTTTGATTTTGAAAAATGTGTGATGACCTTTGGAAAGTTGAAACAGAGGAAGATATCAAAAAAATAATGTGTACATGGCATTAATTTGTAAATAACTATTGCAGACTGGATTATTTTTTTTATTGTTTATAAGGTCTTTCATTAATTCCTCTCATCTGTAATAAATACTTTAAAGTTCCATGACCGTTATATGAATTGCTGTAACTATATAAAACAATTAGATTGGTGTATGGCTTTAAAAATATAAATTATGTTGTGTAACTAATTCTGAAAAAGAAGCGTCGCGCGCTGCGTTACAAATTCACTGACCATGGACCCACCATGCATGAAAAATTTTCTAGGGAAGACACTGAATTGTTTGTTATTAATAAATTTCTGTCAGTTCTAAGGGAAGTAATTGCCGTTTGTTTCTATCGTAACTAAGCAAAACTTGAAAATCATGAAAACTGTTTTGATCGGGCCATCCTGTATGAAGGAATATAGTTATTGAACAAGTTTTTTTTTATATTAAAACTGAAAAATGAATCATGAGAAATATCCCCAAACCCCTCCACAAAAGATGAATGGATTTTTCCTATTAGAGCAATAAGATTAATCTAATATTATCTTTGATATTTTATTTCATTTGCGTATTTGGCTATATCAAGGTACAAAATGGTACAAAATGTATATAGAATTGAGCTTCAATGAAACAAATGGTTTTTCAACGGTTTTCATCCTTTTTAGCTCACATGGCCCAAAGGGCCAAGTGAGCTTTTCTCATCACTTGGCGTCCGTCGTCTGTCGTCGTCCGTCGTCGTCCGTCGTCGTCTGTTAACTTTTACAAAAATCTTTTCCTCTGAAACTACTGGGCCAAATTTAACAAAACTTGGCCACAATCATCATTGGGGTATCTTTTTTAAAAAATGTGTCCGATGACCCCGCCTTTCAACCAAGATGGCCGACATGGCTTAAAATAGAACATAGGAGTAAAATGCAAGTTTTGAAAACCATTGTCCGGAAACCAAATGTCTTCGGACGACGACGACGTGATACCAATATACGACCGCAAAATTTTTTGCGGTCGTATAAAAACTATAATAGATAAACAGACATTTTAAATCACAAAAATGATCAGCAGGTCAAGATCTACTAACAAGTCAAATTTTGCTGATATAGTTAGAAGACTGTCACTCTTTATAGGAGTGATTGTCCTTAAATGAGGATATTTTTAACCCTCTTTTGAGTTTCAAAAGTGAGCAAAAGCTAAAGAAGATAGATAGAAACTAAACAGAATTAATGATCAGCAATACAAGATCAACAAAACAGAGAATTTTTTCATGAATTCTATACTCATCTACAATGTTGTAGAGTGTCCTTTGTTGAATATGCACATAGACCAATGTGAGCGACACAGGCTCTTTAGAGCCTCTAGTTATTTCTGTTAAACTTCCCCTAAATACAAAACATGGGGAAGAAATGAACTTGTTATCTGTGAAACATGATTTATTTATTAGTTGTAACTGGCATTGATTTTGTTTTTTGATAAATTACTTTTTTCCAGACTTTGATTCAGTTTGTGTGTTAATCGCCCAAGTTTACACACCAATAACCTCTAGAAAAAATGTGTTTAATCCTACAGTATCCTTAATCAGGAAATGATTGCTTTCTGAAAATTGCATACAGAGTACAATGCATCATACCAAAGTTTCCCCCAAATCAGTAGAAAATTATTTCTTCATACAGAAGCTGAGTATTAGCAACGAAATTTATGGAAACGAAATAAATGTGTGTCAGACAAATTTTACACTTATTTTTAATTTTAAGCAATGACAGCCATGCAGGTTGACAAAAAAAACAACTGTACACTTAGATACCTGAGGATCATTCTGCCAAAGTTACGTTGAAATTATTCCAGTGGTTTCACAGATGAAGAGTTTTGAGGAAAAAAGGGTGCACATGCAGAAATGTCTGGCCTGCTTTACTAACTATGATTGATTGTATGCTGAAAGCCTTAACGATAAACATTTCATTACAAGTATCACATAAACTTAACATTTGCAAAGATCAATGACAATGAGGTCAAGGCCACATAAACACTGCCAGACAGACATGTACACCTTCCTTTTTTTCCTTACACCAAATATAGTTGACCTATTGCTTATAGTATCCAAGAAACTGATCAAACCATGAAAACTTAATATTGACAAGTGAACCATAAAAATGAGGTCAAGGTCAGATGAAACATGCCAGAAAAACATGTACACCTTACACTGATTCCATTCACAAATGATGTTTGACCTTTTGCTTATAGTACCTAAGAAACAGACTTAACCACATAAACTAAACATTGACCAATAAATAATGAAAATGAGGTCAAGGTCAAATGAACCCTGCCAGACAGACATGTTTATCTTATCATCATTCCATACACCAAATATAGTTGACCTTTTAGTTATATAGTATATGAGGAGAGGACCAAACCATGAAAACCTAACATTGACTAATGTCCATGGAAATGAAGTCAGGGTCAGACAGTTTACGCCACCGACTCCAGATATTAATTCCTACTTCCTTGCATATATACTGGTACGAAACAAAAAAAAAGATGACGGACGATTAATGATGGCAAAAGGCCGTGAGGTATTAATAAGGGTATACGTCAATGAGACAACATCCCAACAATACACACAATAGTACACAAGCTGAAGTGTCGCGCCTTCTTTACTGATAATAATTGAATTTCATGTTGAAATTCGCTAAGACCAATATCATCCTGAATATGCAAGAAATATTTGCCATTGGATAACAAGCCAACAACAATCAAACAGTTAATCTTTAAAATCAACGTCTTACTACAGGTACCACATAAACTTAACATTATTAATAATTAATGACAAGAGGTCAAGTTCAAACGAACTCTGTCAGATAGACAACTTCACCATACAATAAATTTATGCACCAAATAAAAATGACCAACTAAAAGTGTTAGAAAAACGGAAATGATCACAGAAGGTTAACGTCGACCAATGAATAATGAAGTCAAGGTCATATGAACCTTGTAACATATACACCTTACACTCATTCTTTATGTGCAACTTATAGTATCTGATATCCAAACCAAATCACAAAGCTTTAACCAACAAATCATGCAAACTGGGGCCAAGGTCAGATGACACCTCTCAGACAAACATTTTTACCTTACAATTATTCTATACACGGAATAAAGTTGATCTTTAACTTATATATGGCGTTGTCAGTTTATTTTCGACTTATGAGTTTGAATGTCCCTTTGATATCTTTTGCCTCTCTTTTAACAATGCATGTGATGTCGTGCTAAGCATATCTTCAATTGTAATTTAAAGTATATGAAAACAGGAGGTAGGTGTCTGACAAATCTGAAAAAGGTCTCGTCATATTCTAAGCATTTTTTTTACACAAGTGACAAACACCTAGGTAATCCTTCTTACCAGGAACACAATAACAGGATGATTAAAAATAAACCCATATATTTTTAATGCTGTGACCAAATAGGGTGGATATCCTATAGAAGAAGATGACCAGTGACCCATGTTATTTCCTTATACTTGTTCCTCTGGAAACTGTTATAAACAATGCTATAATATTCTATATCCTTTATTCTGTCAGGATCAAATACTGTAATATTTTTTTCCAAGTTGAAACAATATTCCAGAACATTTCTTCCATTTTAAACTAATATTATATAAAAGGAACTTTTTAAAAGAAAACAAAACATTTTCAAAATTTCTTTACCTATTTGGAACAAACATCTCACATTGACAGACATGTTTCAGCATTTTCTGGTAATCCATTTTGCAAAGTATGACTTGTATACAATTCGGCATCCATCAAAAAGATTTTTGAGAAATTTGGAATACCCCAAAATACAAAGCACTCAAATATGAGGGTCTAAAGGGGGTCTTTCATTTTTGTATTTGGTAGGTCATTATTCTCTATTTTTTATATTTTAGCACCCCATTATTCTCTATTCTTTATTTTTTTGGCCCATCTTTTAGTAGATTTGACCCATTATTCTCTATTCTGTAAACCCCATGCAGACCTTCAAATATTATGTACACCTGTGATAATAATACACTATTCCTTCTATCATAAATGGTTCCCCTTTGACTGACCTAATCACAAACTTTAACATGTATATTATGCTTCAATGAAACATGACTTATACTTATACAGAAGCATACCACAGGTTATTGACTTACCTTTAGTGGTTCCCCTTAAATCACAAACTTTAAACATGTAAACTATGCAAAAGTTTACGTTAATAGACCATAACTGAGGGAATGGGGTCAAATTATCAGCATGGCAATAAGATGTACCAAATCTAATACAACTGCATACCAAATATTGCTAACTTAATATAAGTAGTTTCCCTTAAACTAACCTAATCACACACTTGTTGAATCTGTTGACAAATGCAGAAACAGCAAATCAAAGCACCTCACTCAACAACTTCCTTTAAGTTAGACAAAAACTGATCAATATTGATGAAAAATAAAAGAGGTACATCAAAAGTAATGAAAACACTTGTTTTTTTCAGAGACAGGTTGCCACAATCCTTTGTTTTGGCCCATTAAACATTGAGTTAAAATTTCAAAATGATTTTTCCTGAAGTTATTGTCTTAACATATTGTCTCCACATTTAGTAAATGCCTTCCAGTCAATGAACACCTTCATATTATCATAGGACTGCAAGAGACGATGCTGTTCAAACTACTGATCTTATGAATTGAGTTCATTGTATATCTTGTTGCAGAACCGTTGTCTGAGTTTGAAGAGAGTAAAGTCTACCCAACCACATACTTAAGGTGAGTCTCCCAAGCCAGGAGCCTGTAGTTCAGTGGTTGATTGCTTTTCTATTAATGTAGCCAGTTGGATGTATCTTATGAATTTTGCAAAATCATCTTTTCCTGAGATAGTTTTTATTTTCTGCTAAATAGTTCTCTCTTGAAATTGCACTACCAGTATCACTCCTTATTTTATATATAAATGTAATAAATTGCTATCTTATGAAAGAATGAACACTCCTGAGCTAAACTGGATCCCAAAAGTTGAATACAACTTTTAATTCTTAAGGTAGAATAAAGGTGTCAGACCACCAATTCAAAATCCCTATATAATCAACCAAATTATTCCATTTTCACAGCTTTCTTTATATTTTTCCTTTAGTTTAACTTCATAGAAACCAGGTATACACAGGCAATTGTCTCTGAAAAAATAAATGGGAAATGTGTCCATTGGACACAGATGATGCCCCCGCTTGCATATATCGTTAAAAAGGGATTTAACTCAAGAACTGTAAAAGTGAATCAACCAAAATTTTTACTTGATCTGAGTTTTGTGGTAATAAGTATTGTGTACATAACATTTGATTGAGGCAAACTTAAGAAAGAGAACGGAAATTCAGCAATTTTTCCATTTGTAAAGGGGCATAACTCTAAAAAGGTAAAAGTGACGCCACCAATATTCGAACTTGATCTGTGTTTTTTGGCAATAAGAATTGTGTATAAATTTCATAACATTTGGTTGAGACAAACTCAAGTTAGAGAACAGAAAAGAAAAATTCAGCAATTTTTCCATTTGTAAAGGGGCATAACTCTAGAACGGTAAAAGTGACGCCACCATAATTCAAACTTGATCTGTGTTTTGTGGTAATAAGCATTGTGTATAAGTTTCATAACATTTGGTTGAGGCAAACTAAAGTTAAAGAATGGAAACCAATTTTGGGATGTACGGATGGACGGTTGTACGTACGGCTGTACAGACGGACATTGGTAAAACTTAAGGCCCCCTCCGCTACAGCGGGGGCATATCGATCCTAGTAATTTTTTTCAGAGACAAGTGCCTGTGCACGTATACCCTGAATTGTACATGTATCACCTTTCTATATGCCAATTTTCAACCAATGTTTATTGTCTTATGGTGAAAAACGATCGTTCGGAAAACAACTGTTACTAAAAATGACCCCTGTTTTTTTGGGAAATACTATGGAGCCAATTAATCCTCAATTTTTCATGCAAAATCATGGACAAGTAAATTTTGACTCCAAATGGTCTAAATATATTTCTCTTCCACCAAAAGTTTCATTCCTGCAAATATTTTTGTTAGTTTAAGTAAACAATGACATCAAAAGCACTATTTGTTGTTAGGGAATGGCTACTTTTAAATTGGAGTGTGTGAATTGGTGGTCTGACACCTAAAGAGAACAGTTAGCCATCAAGAAAACATGTTTTAGCTAATACAAGAACTCTACAGTGAAAAAATAGTCTAAACAAACCTACTCAACAGATGTTTATTATGTAAAAGATAACACAGAATTGTAACAAAGTGTAGGATATATTATTTGACATACAAAAATAAACTTTCAAACGTGTGTCATTAATAACACTTTCTGTACAAGTAAAAATCATTTGAACACTATATTAACATAATTGCTATATGGTTTAATGAATAAATAAATTCAAAAGAACTATATAAATTATTTTTTTTAAATTTTTCATTAACAGCTTTTCAGTCACTAAGTATACACTTTCCTAAAACTGCATTGTGCCTGAAGTCTGCCTCCCCATCACCTTAGCTGCCATCAACAACTTATTTCACATTGAATCAAATGCTGGAATTTCACACAAGAATCAGAATAAGACATTTTTAGAAGAAAAGTCATTTGGCAATAATGATGAGGATAAATCTGCATCTAAAATTATTTCTAACAACATGTCATTCAGTTCTATTTTATATTCTATTTCATGATAAGTTATCATTTACAGGACTGAACCAAAATTATAAATTTAAACTTTTTAATCAAGTTGCTGTCCAATGTTTCACATAGGGAAAACCTTTTCTAACTTTAGATACAATACATTTCACGAAGGCACATCATCTTACAACAGAGAGTATATAATGTGAAATTTCCAAAAACTTTTTGGAAATTTTCAATAGGGTCCTATGATAAACAATATTTTATACTAGTAACTAACTTGGATTTCAATGAAGTACAATTGAAGGCAAATGTGTGAATGCATCTTCCTTAGGTTTAAATAAAATCTTTTGAGTGACAGAAAAATTTAGTTCAGGGTCAAGACTGAATACACTTCACACATGTTTCAAGTTGCATGCACTTCTTTAAGGATCAAATATATAACTTTAAGCTGGTTTTCAGTAACATGACCACTTTGGAAAGAGTTTCACATGGCACTTTTATCCCCATTGTCAATTTTACCATGATTTGAGGCTATTAGGTTCCTTATTTTCTGGAAGGAAGCTGTTAACATATGACATCAGAACTAATTATGATGATGGATACAAACTGTTAATGTCTCTCGTTGCCCTTTTTGTCAGTTGAGTGCACTTGGAACTCTTGTTCTAGCTAGCTATATGTCTTAATATACAAAATATCATTAATAATTTCATTGATGTTAGTTTTGAAGTTTGGATTAAACAATTTTTATAATATATTTTTAATTTCCTTGTATTAAGGTAGATAGGGTGTCTTCCTCCATCTTGGATTTTAAAATACCAGAAAGCAATCGGTCTAGATCTTTAATAGAATGTGTAAATTTTGAGAGTAGTAGGTAATTCATGTGTAAGAATTTTCATTTCAATATAGAAAATGACATGTTTTATCATATTTATGGTTGTATTTTACAAAAAACAGAAAACTTTTGTTTGATTCAAATTTTTCCAACTTTGCCACATAAGGGGAGGCAAATGTAAGGGCAGATAATTCAGATAAAGGTACTTTTATAATAGAATGTGTTAGGAATTTACCTATTTTATTATGTATAGCAAGAAAACGGGTTCGGTGACCCCATTTTTTCTTTTTCTTATCTGAAAGCATACTATTAAAGCTATCTTCTCATATTTTATCTCAAAATTCTATTGTGTAGTTTTCGTTTTATGGCTGAAAATTGGGTTTTCCATGCATAATCTATACAAAATCTGTCAATTTTGAACAACCTGTAGCCTGAAAATAAGCCCCGTGACCCATTCTTTTTATTAAATTTTTTTGAAAAGCATGATATAAACTACATTTTGGCAAATTATTAAAAAAATCTATGGATTATAATTTAGACACCCCATCTACCTTAATTGACATAATTAAGGTGATGCATTGACATGTAATAACTGATACACAGGTAGTATTCATCTACTTCTTTGTCATTTGAGTCTACATTGTATTTATCCAATAAAATCAAAACTACAATCTTCTATTTGACAAGAACATCTATAAATATGTTACTGCAAAAATAGTAAATTCACTAACAATAAAAATCCATTAACAGCTTTGGCAAATATCTGTATAATTATAGTTATATGAATTTTTCTGAGAGCACTATGAAATAAATTATTGCACCTTAGATAACTGTAAATGTTAACATGACAAAGCAGTCTATTAGTAAGCTGGTTACAAACATTTCTATGATTTTTAACATACACAGAGGAATCTATAATTTCCAACTTTCACAAAGAAATGTAAAATTTGTATGATAAGTTTTTATGTTCACACACATATTATACAGGATGGTAAAAAAGTAAGAATTACAAGGATTCAAATCTTTCCTTCCAATGAAAACAAGAATAAGTGCACATTTCATGTCTCTACGAGTAAGAGGTAGAAGTTATATTGCAACCAGTAATACTAATAACAGGCCGTTATTAATGGCTACTGGTACTAATCAACTAAACAATAAAAATAGATTGAAAGTAAATGTTTAAGTTTCTGTATCTAGTAGCAATATTTCAAAGCTTGGAAAGATTTTGTTGACTGTTTAATATCTTCTCAAAGATAACATGGGTTAAAATTTCATGTTCAAGAATAGAGAATGACAGCAATTGGCATTTTCCTTTTTTCATCTAACATGAAACCTCCAAAAATTGAGTTTTGAGTTCTTTTGAAACATGAAATGTTCCAAGCATGTAACTTTTGGACTTACTATATGATCATAAAGAAAGACATAGACATTTTTATTTGAATAAAAGAAACAGTTGTCTACAACATTTGATATAAAAGCCTGAATACCATTGAATGTTTATGAAACAAACCAGAATGATGACCCCTAGATGTCTTTGTTTTTTGGGTATTGTTGGGATGCTCATTGATCAAGTCAAGTCTTAGCAAAATATGTATGTCTTGCCTGATCTAAAGTAGTGAAAAATGGTCGGAGAAACTTTAAGTTTAATGCATGATAGTAAAATGATGATTGTCAATTACAAGTTCAAAGTGAAAAATAGTTATGAATTTCTGCATTTGGTGTAAACATTAACACAAAATGATATCACATACAGTGTATGCTAAATTTTATTTGTATCTTTTTTTTTTCATATCATGCATAGATGTAACCCCAAAATGTTTTTAGAGAATATAGGTTTTTTTTTTTTTGGTGTCTATTGAATTATTCAGAATCTTAGTTTATAAAATCAGCATTGTGTTGTACAATGATGAATGATAAGTAATACAAATTTCCATGTATAATTTCTCATTGAACAAGAGCGACAACTCAATTCATTTTGCCCCATGTTTTATCAGTATCTTTTCTTACGGAGTTATAAACAACAGTACATGTACATGTTATATCAGCACGATCCTAAAATTCAAATGGGTGTTGCTTTGTTTTAGTGACACTAAAACTAAATTCAAACATTTTTTTCCGTACTAATGACAGAGGTATAATTTACAAGTTTTGAGTTTAAAGAAACTACTACACTGTAGTGCTCATTCTAAATTTTGATAAAACCCAGATATATATTTATTTTCTCCTAGCCTACTATTAAGAAGTTTGCAATTTCACGATGGTATCACATATTTATTATTTGCTGCAAAGATATCTTTTAATTATTATTAATATTATACATCTGTAAATAACATTATAATCTATAAAAACTGTAAACCTTGAGTAACAGATATAATTAAGTACCATTCTATACAAACTCTTGAGTAACAACAAATATATACATATGTAATTCTATTCGATGGTTTATAAATTATCACAGTGGTTAATATATCAGGTGGAACTATTGTCATGGAAACAGAGGTTAAGACTGTAGTATGTATTTAAAACAAGAGGAACCATAGTAAATGCTCAATTAAGTCCATATTAAATTATCAAGTTAGAAAAGACTGTTTGAACCTCTCTTTAGATATTAAAATTAAAAATGTCATCCAACAGTTTTTTTTTTATGAAATTACATTTTTCTAAAAAATAATATTGCTATGGGAATACATGATTCTTCCATTTGTACAAAGTATAGAATTCACTTCCTTGCTTAAAACCAATTAACTTATTCAGCAATTGTCTTTTTTCAACAAATTAGTCAATCTGATATTGGAATGTTACAAAAATTGCACTTAATCATTTTATACCCCATCTTATCCCTGAAGAAATGGCTAGAAGAGCTGTTTTCCTAAATTCTGATATGATGTTTAGTTTCACTATGAAAAAATAAAAATATTTTATTGAAATTACACTATAACACTAAATTTTTTAGCTATAAGTATTTTTTCTTATATCACTAGTAACATTGAAAACTACAGATCCTACACATACCATCATACTATAAAGTTACACTCTAGTTTCCATTATTGGTCTGTTTAATTTGACAACTGTTTCTTTTTTCTTTCCATTTCTCTGTGAATCAGATTTATCTCTGCTACTTTTATCTGACTTATTATTTCCATTTACATCTTTACTTGCATTTGATTTAGTTTTAGTACCTGTCAATTTGTCATCAACACATGATGAAACAGATTCCTGATATGAGACATTTAACTTTTTGGCGAATTCTTCCTCTTGAGATGTTCCCTGATTATTCAGGCAACTTTTTTGGGAAGTTCCCAAATCAAAATTAAAACGATTTTCATCTACACCATTATCAGCAGAACTAATAACACTTGTCTGTGAATCTTCACTTAACTGTCTGCACACATATAACTTTCGACAAGTTTTGCGATTATTCCTCCGAGAAGATTTTACATCCCATGTTTTACTATACTTTGACCAATCCTCCTTGGTCAATGCATTGTTTAAATTTTCATCGATTTCATTCTGCAGTCTATGAGCTACTTCCTCTGGGAATATAGTGGACTTTGATCGAGGACATAATGATACTCTTGTATTTGAGTTTTTCCTTGACCCTGATCCATGCAGAGATTCTTGATGGAAACGTTCTGCTGCTTTTCTTAAAAGCATTGGAGAGGAAGGTAAAGACTGACTTCGCCTTTCATATGTATATTGTCTTTTACCAAAATTGTCAGGGGTTCTGGGGGTACATGGTGGTGTCAGGGCATCTGATGGAGATGGAAGCTCAAAACCCATAGAGTCTCTATTACGTGGAGTACCTAATATTTTTCCACCATATCGTTGAAAGGCAGCAAAAGGATTACTATCAGCAGGAATATAAAATGGATCATCTTTACTCATTGCTTCTCCTACTACCTGAGGGGTCAAAGGTTCACTGAAATCCTCCACTGCATCGATCAGATTTAATATATTGTCCTCAGATTTTGATCTTTTGTGACCACTTAAAGCATTTTCTGAAAAGGATTGACATATTTGTTAAATTAAAATCAAGTGAAAATATTAAATCTGCATTCATCCTTTCTTCCATTTCTTTTACGCAAAATATTAGTGGACAAACATATATCTGCTAAGAAAACTATTTTTTAAAAGTAATTATCTTAACACACAGAAATGGTTCTTCACTGCATATTCAGGAGGTTATACATGTACTTTAATTACTTATGTATCAAATTTTCATTGCATTTAATTTCAGTATATAAAAATATTTCTCTTTTATTAAAAGTGTCTATAATTATCTTGGCGCCTGAACTAATTCAACCTACTGTTGTCCATAATGCTAAAATCCTACTAGATAATGGGTGTTTATATGAAAAATCTTTAGCTGGTAAGATAGGTATGGACTAAAAGTAGAAATTTTTTTGACAAAACATTTGTTGAATCAAAAGCATTAAATTTATAATAGAGATCCCCAACCACAAAAAAATACCTTTCACATAAAAATTAATTAGTTGCAGAATGATTTTCATTGGTATTCAGATCAATTTTAGTTTCAATTGGCACAGTGGTTGCGAATAAATATTTGAATTTTTTTCAATGCATGACAGATGACAATTGATGACAGAACCTCACATGGCGCAATGGGATTGATTGATTGACTGACGGAGGCTTAATGTCAAGTGAAAAATATAACTGGGTAATTCAGGACTATAAAAAGATAATGTAATTTGAAGATACCCTTCTTTGTGCTTTTCTGACATGCTGAGTAGGATTTTTAACATTCTAGGTCACAAAGTAACTAAAAGACAAGTTCACCTTCTAGCTTTTGCTCTACTCTTAAATGTTGCATGCTTGACAGGGAAGCAGCCTATTTTAAAGTCTTAAAGTCGACCCTGAGCACAAAACCTTGAGTCCACCTAGGTGTTTTGGAAAATTAGGGTCAGAAGAGCTATAACTGTGAAAAAATTATAAATTATAAAGAAGTGGTTTATTGGTTGCTTTGCTCACTAGATGATTCTTCTATCTATACCTTTGATATGAAGTTTTTCTGGAGTATTTAGATTATCATCTAATAATCTCTGTTGAATCTGAATTAATGAGTGAGCTATCTCTGTAAAACTTGGTCTCTTTTTTGGATCAATCTGTAATAATGGAAAAGGTGTAATCATAAAGTTATTTACATTATGTACTGACAATATTGCCCGATTTGAAATGCAACTAACTTATCATCATTGCAAAGATCATATGGTGAATTATATTCTCTCTTTATATTTATAGAATAACTAATCGAAGAATTCAAATAGAGAAAAATATTCAACGAGTGACCGAACAACACATTAATTCATGAATGCGCGTAACGCATGAGTTAATTATCAGTGTTGTTCGGTCACTAGCATGTAATTCTTTTTTTTCTTAGTTCAAAATTATGAATGTCATACAAATACAAGATTCAGCACAATAAAGTGCAGTAAAAGAACTGAAGACTTTTTTAAGCTATGGATTCAGATTTTGGTTGAATAAAAGGGATTCATATGTCCTACAGTTTACTTGCAAACTACTATATTACGGTAATGCTTATAAGTTTTGCCTTGTCGCAAATGATCACTGTATGTTATACTTAATTTGAATAATATAACTAGTACACGTTTTCACTAAAACCCACAGCAAAATTGAATGTAAAGTCAAGAACATTCTAATATCATACAATGAAGTGAGGACATAACACAAACAACCATGATACTAAATAAATTCATCATAAGCTTAGAATGCGTTCCATATCTTACATTAGAATATGTACACACAGTTGTACTTAGTCACTATCTTGTTGTCATTTCTATTTTGCTCAAATCTGATTCTATACATGTACAGTATTCAATGTTTTATTTTCTAGCTTGATATTTAAATAAGAAGAAGTGGTATGATGCCAATGAGACAAATTAGTTAGTTGTACATATATATCCATATTAGAAATATGATTTTAAACAAGAATCAAATGACAGAGATATTTGAGTTACTCCACAAAAAAGGTATAAAATACCAAAATCTCACCCAATTCTAAACATAAAGGCACTACACTAGTAAATGCAACAACCTCTGTATTTATCATTGAGGATGAGGGTATCAATTTCATTGGATTAACCTTTAATTTAAACCCCCAGTGTGTTAACTCTCTATTTTTCTTGATTAATTTCCTATTACATGGATTCTTTTTCATATTTTATAAGAAATTTTTAAGGAACTCCAATGCTCCTTTCTTTTGGCTAAGATTTTTCTTTAAACTTTAATTTATTGATAGACAGCATGAAATTTTTTACTTATATTCATTCTACTTTTTATTAAGTTTCTTGAATTCATATTTTGATAAGTTAAAAGTTTATGCCATTGTTATAGCATTTTTCCTCTTTTAAATAGCCTTTCCAAAAAAGTGTGAGTTCAAGTCTCACTTAGGACGGAAAAATAATAATACAACTAAAATACCAAAATTTCAAAAAGATAGAATTATTTTTGGCTTCTTTTTTCATTCTTTTGCAAATCACAGATTTGAAAAAAAAAAGATTAAGAAAATAAACCTTCTTTATACGTTTTATGGTTCTTACTTTTTCAGCTTGGGAAAACCAGAAACTCCATTTAATTCTGATTATTCTGTTACGACAAAATTTTAGATGGCCTTTTTAAAATTAATCCATTTCCAAAAAGACAACTATCAGATGAAAAGACTGTCAAATTCAATTACTAATTCTAAAAACTTTTACATGATGTTATTTTTTACCTATTCTCACGTCAATACAAATTCTCTATAATTCACTCAAACAATGTGATGTTTATCTTTATTTTAAAGTCTTACCTGACAACATCTGAAGGTTAACCTGAGATAATCCAAAGGACAGAATGATACCATCTCACAAAACTTGACATAATCCAATCCAAATCTCTGAGAAAGAACAAGACATACAATATAATATGAAAGGATACATGTAATTAAATATCATAAAATAAGAATATTTTGAGTTATTTTTATGTAGCAAACTTAATTTTAAATATAGATTATATTTAAAGTTGACTAAACAGTCAATTTGTCTTCCCAAGTGGTTACATTTCCTCAACTTACTCCTTTTATTGGTCAGATAAACTTTTCATAGATACAAGTACAGATAACTTTCTCAGACATAGGTAAATGTGAAACTATGCCCAAAATTTCTGACAGCACTGACGATTTTCAACATCTTTTAAAAGATTATATATCATCAATGGGATTGTATTTTAAAAATATCAATTTTCTGAAAATATTTCATAATTTTCTTAAAACTTAATTATGAACTGAAAATTTGCACACAACATAACTGGCATCAAATGTATTGAAACCCTGTTTTCTTTAACTGACCTATTCAAAAACTTTAACAATTGTTGACACCACCAACACTGATTCAAATGACGGAAAAAACATGTCAAAGTCTTCCTTCATGCTTTTCCCGAGAGAGGCAAAAACTGAATTATCTATCTTTTAACATTTGCTTGGTGAAGTGATAAAAATTAGTGCATTATGTCATGTAGGTTCTGCGATAATTTCATTAGCATCTGATAGATGAGGCCAACCTTCTTTTCTTGGAATGGCAGTCCATGTTTTGCTTTGGGAAATCCCAAAATTCAAATAGGATCTGCACAATGGCATCAATAAAGAAATATCCTGCAAAAAATTCTTTGAAATTCACAAGAGTCACAGATAAAAGTGCCAACCCTTTTGTAGATATGGCAAAGTCAATATTTTACTATGGGAAACCCAAAAAATTAAAAAGTAGCGAATGTTTTCCATTCATTAGGCTAAGATAGAGTTACAGATACAAAAGTACACAGGACTCAACCAACAGTGTACTTTTGATATTTGAACACCAAAAAAAACCAAACAGCTGAAATGATCACAATAATGTACCTGCTTCACTAAAGCAGGAGTATAAGTATTTTGTATTAAGGAAGGTAATTTATTCTTCCAAATTTTTTCATTTCTTGATTGTTAGTTTTGTTTTCATGCTTTAATGTTATCTTCAGAACTTATTTCTTTTAAATTGTCAAATAATAGCTTTTAATGTTAGGTACACAAAAGATAGTTTGGATACCTCAATTTTCACATTTAATAAACGAAAAAGTTAAAGGGTACTTTTACGATCAAGACCATGCATCTAAAAAGTTTTCTGCCCTTTTAAAAAAAAAAATTCTAACAAAAATAAAAGTAATTTACCGATGTTCTTGGCATGAAATCTGGATCTGCATCTATTCTTGCTGTTATTTCACAGGATATAATACTGTATGAAAATATATCAGCCTGCAATGGAAACACTTTACATTAATTCACATGATAATAAATGTAACTATTTAGAATTTCCAGTAGAACCATTAAAACATACATCTAAAACTTTCATCTAGAAGCTGCATGAAATATTCAACAATGACTCATGACATCACATATCATGCTAATAAAATTTAATCTTTGAATTGGTGGAAGAACTGGTGATAGAAAACAAAACGACAGGATATTTCCAACCCTTATCTTAACTTGCAATCAAAACTGCTCTGTGGTAGTTTTGCTTGTAGTAAATTCTATACAGACTGTTACAGCAGGAATATTTAAATAACTTCTGTAACAATCTGAATAGAATTGACCTGTGAAATTAAGTTAAAAGAGGAATTATTTGTGTATAAAACATAACATCATTTCACATTGTGTGTATTTTTTATGAAAGAAGAAGGAATTGCTAAGTCCTTTTTATTGTTTACAGAAGTTTGATGTAAATATTTATAAACTGTTGACACAGAGATATGTCTCACCTGTAGGTAAATTTAACAGTATAATGCAAGTGTTGAAATTTGAATGAAAAAACTGTAACATGTAAACTATGCAATACTTTCAAAGTCAATGCAATTATTGACATCCTAACCAGAAAAGGCAGGCATCAGTATAGTAGGCAAGAAAGAAAACAAAATGCAAATTTAGGTCTCCAGACTACCAACCTGCTTTTTTGTTACAGATTGAACATGTCAAATAATATTCAGAAACATGGTGAAACAGTTATTACAGGGTATGTCAGAAAGGACTGGTCCACTGACCCTGTTTATTTTTCTAACCTGACCTGATGCATTAAAGTATGCTTTTTATTCAGGGGCCAGCTGAGGCCCGCCTCAGGGTGCAGGATTTTCTCCCCCTGTTGAAGACCCATTGGTGCCCTTCGGCTGTTTTCTGCTCTTTGGTCGGGTTGTTGTCTCTTTGACACATTCCCCATTTCCATTCTCAATTTTATTAAGGGTTAGTAAATCTTAAAAGCTAAGGTGCACTTTAGATTATTCACTATTTTAGCATAAAAGCACATAAATAATTTCACATTTTCACCAATACTGAAAGTAGTCAAACTGGCACTTAGTCTATAGAAGATTAAAACATGATAGATGAAATCATGTAAACAATGCCATTAAAAGCTATGCAACATTAAATTCTGAATGGACTGTTATTCACATGCATTTCATACTCAGCTATCAAGTTATAGATGTTAAACACAATAAAATATCTTAATTCTATACAAGTACCTGTTCATTATACCATTCTCCATTGAGGACTTCTGGAGCCATCCAATACGGTGAACCTACTATTGACAACCTCTCTGTCTTGTTTCTGAAAAATTTGTTTAAATTAATTTGCATATCATTTGAGATTTCTATCCGCTTTCAGTCAACACTATAAGACCTTTTTGATTAGAGTTTTTTGTCTTTAGTTTCCATCTTTTCAGGGTTCACCTTTTTTGTAACACAGATTCTTTTCACCTGCATATATTCCTCATTTATTTAAACCATCTTTAAGAAAAAACATCAAATAAAATTTGTTAACTTGTACCATGATAATTGAATATGAATTTCATTTTGTCCAAAATATATTTATAAACAATTTATTAAACCATATATTATTGAATGAAAACATATGCATTTGAACTTTTGAGTATTGAAATGTAAAACAGGTCTCTAAATAATGTAAATGTTTTGAACAAGAGTCCACATGCTGAAATGTCTCGCCTGTTTTACTGACCATTGATTTCAGGTTGAAAGTCTTAAAGATAAAGGTTTTACTTCAAGTATCACATAGACTTAACATTTTTAAAGATCCATGACAATGAGGTCAAGGTCAGATAAAAACTGTCACACAGACATGTACACCTAACAATTATTCCATACACCAAATAAAATTGACCCATTGCTTATGGTAATTGAAAAACAGACCAAAACACATAAACTTAATGTTAACCAATGAACCATGGAAATGAGGTCAAGGTTTGATGATGCTGGCTAGACATGTACACCTTACACGCATTCCATACACCAATTATAATTGACCTATTGCTATTAGTATTTGAAAAACAGACTAAAACACAAAAACTTAACATTGACCAATGAACCATGAAAATGAGGTCAAGGTCAGATGACACCAGCTAAACAGACATGTACACCTTACAATCATTCCATAAACCAAATATAGTTGACCTATTGTTTATAGTACTTGAAAAACAGACCAAAACACAAAAACTTAACAATGATCAATGAACCATGAAAATGAGGTCAAGGTCAGATGAAACCTGCCAGTCTGACATGTACCCCTTACAATCACATATAGTTGACCTGCTGCTTGTAGTGTCTGAGAAACGGACCTAATCATGTAACTTTAACCTTCATCACTGATCCATGAATTGAGGTCAAGGTCAGGTTAATCCTGTCAGACGGACATGGGTCATGTAGACGTTGCAAGGAACCCATATACCAAATATAATTATCCTATTACTCATAATAAGTGAGAAATTCACATGACAAAAAACTAATTTTTTTTCAAGCAGTCACTGAACCATGAAAATGGGGTCAAGGGCAATGGGCATATGACAGACAGAAACTTTGTAACATAAGGTATCTGCATGCAAGGTATGTAGCATACAGGTCTTCTACCTTGTGAGAAATAAAGCTTTATACAAATAGTTTATGCTGCCGCCGCCCGAGAGTAATACCTATGTCTGGCATACTGTGACTTTCGTCACAGGCGAGACAAAAATGGGTTAGCCTTTGTAGTACTCTGTTATAATGTACCCTGATGTTATTCTTCGATGTAAATTTTCTGAACATTTGAAATTTGTACAACCATGAATTTTAATTGTTATATATATAGATATTGAAATGCTGATTAACATATTGTTTATAGATGATAAAGAATCTGAAGAGGTTGCCATGTGGTATGATATCAACCTGATCACTTTCTTTCCATGTGATCTTCGGTGGGTTACTGTCTCATTGGCAATTATGTCACACCTCATTATTCTTGTTTTTAAATGTATTTTCTTAATCTAGCATGTTTTTTGGCATGTATCTGGCATTTAGAATAAATAATGAATATTACAGACAACAATTCTCCTTATGATAGATTATATCATATCTTACACTCTATTAATTAAACTGATAATTGCAAAATAGTTGCCAATAGTCTGTTACTTTTTGGGTTTTTTTTTGTATACCACTTCTTAAATAACAATTTTGTTGCAATGTCACAACTGATCATGCTTTTGATATCCTCTGAAACAACCAAAATCTCATCTTTGACTATATACTTACAGTGGATCTGGAATTTTTGCTGCCAATCCAAAGTCTGCCACTACAGCTTGTAAATTGCCTTCTGTAATTCTCACTAGTACATTCTATAAAATAAAATGTGTAACAGACCAAATAACATTGTAGGTGATGTTATAATTTCTATTGTATAAACATTTCAATTATCTTATATGGATCTATTCAAGGTCTGTTAATAGGTTTAGCCATTCAATAGCATTTTCTATTCTGAATCAACTATAATTGTTATTGAAGTTACAACAAATAAAATTCAGAAATATTTTCAAATGGTTACATCAGCAAATTTACAAGATATTTCCATTACTTTCTATTGTTTGGCTGACCCTTGACACTTTTTACAAATATCAAGACTCTTTATTTCAAGTCCTGATAACATGATAAAGTTTTTACTGTACAATCCATCAAATTAAAAAGAATCTTCACTTTATCATAGTTATGTAGAGTAGAAGTATAAAGAGCAAGATATTTTATTGCATTACATAAATCTGCATCTGCTGCACAATGTGCACTTCCTTTCATGTTAAGTGCATCTATATGTTATATATTGACTACAGGGATTTATAATTGATGATCAGTACACTACAGGTAATCTATTGTTGAGAGTTATTTACTGGTAATTATCATAAGGTGGGCTACAAAGACAAACTACCTTTAGTTATAAATGTCATGATTTATTGAAAATTTGAGTGAAATCATCTGACATTATCTAGTTATCCTCAATAGATTACAGTACTGAGTGATGGAATAAAAGGCCAGAAAGATAATATTTTACAGTTTTTTTGTTTTTAATTTTGATAAAACTGCTTAAAAAGCCTTACTTCAACAGAGTTTTTGATTTTTTATGATTATTCCCTCAACGAATATGATACCAATTTTTCTTTAGATAACCTTAAGATATATTTTATGGTTGATCATGGATAATAGTAAACAATAATAATTACATGAAAAGTCAATAACAAATGTAAATTTAGTACACCAAATAACATGATATCTCAAGGATACAAACGTTTATCTTTTAAGTGTTATAACAGCAAATAAAATAGCTAAGCACAATCTTGTTTTTAGACAGAAACTGTGCTTTGAAATGATGGTCATTTACTTTTTTATTACCTCAACTTCAAAAATTTGCAATTAGTTGGATGGAGTGTCTCAATTAAACCAATTTTTCAGTGCTACGTAATTCATTTTCATTTAATTCAATGCATTTATCACCATCAAAATATTTTAAATGCCTAAGTTAATCCACGATATCACTGACTAGTTTGGATTAAACATGCTACTTAAAGGCGCCGGCCTTAAATAAAATACTTTAGTGAAAGATAAAAGGGAAGTAACTTTAACCTATTTAAATCTATAAAAGTAAACAATAGGGGTGTCAAACTGAGTCATATAAAACTTTTGGTCTCTACTGACCAAATTAACCGATTTCAAAGGATTACTCAAATACACTTGGCAAACAAACAAATCCCTTAAGAACTTCCTTTTAATTCACAAACATTAAACTTCCCAGGATAAGTAATATTTCTTTTAACAGGAAACAAAATACAAGATAACAGGATTGCTTTACTTCCTTGATAACTATATATTACCTATGTATTAATTCAGGGTATATAATTAGATCACAAGTTAATTTATCATCCAACAAAATTTGATGGGAAATGCAAAATTTGCAAATGTACAATCATGACTAGGTAAAACCACCTAAGGAAATGTATAAATCTGCACCTGTTTTATATCAACTCGCAGCTAAGTTGTGACAATAATTTCCTGTGAATGAAATTTCATGTTGAAATGCCAATTTAATCATGTATTATGTAGAATGTGGCAAAATGTCATATAAGCAATAGTACCCTCATCTGATGATTTTTATAAGCTGCTGATGAGATATATTTTACATTCTCAGTTTCCTTGTTATAAATCCATATCTGAACTGAATTGTTTAGCCTCAGCAGAACCAAGTGTTAAGATCCACTGCCTGTAATGCTATGAAAAAAGATGGCAGACCAATATTTTTGCAGGGTGAGATGATGGCCAAAACTATGTTTTAATTTTTTTCTATCAAATGGGTTCTGGTGTTTTCTTGGTTTTTTTCTATTCTCGGAACTTGAGCAATTGTGATCAATGACCCCCTATGTGACAATCTGGAATATTCTTGGTTTACTCCAGTAGAAAGACCTTACATGAAAATTTTATTTCCCTGGTCTAATGGCTGACGATTCCATCCATTTTGACAAGATCTAAGGAAATACTTACTTTAGATGTCAGATCTCTGTGGAACCAGCCTCTTGAATGTAAATAATCCATCCCTTTGGCTATATCTAATGACAGATTTAATTTGGCTGTCCATGGAAGTTCAAACTCTTTATCAGCAATCACTTGATCTAAACTTCCACCATTAATATACTACAATACATAAAACATTCTTTCTATGTGTTGTCTTTAATTTCAAATAATTTTTCTATCACATTCAATACATTGAAAAATGCAAAAAAAAATCAGTGTATAAAATGGAGTTGTTGTTAAAATGGCTACTTGCATGTTGTGTTTGTAAAATGTGGGCTAAAATACTTTTCTTCTATGTTATTAAGGAATTCTTAGCAGAAAATATAAAGAAATCCAGGCTTTCAATGACAAATTTGTTGATCGGTAAAACATGACAAATTTTTTACTGTGTTTCCCAAGTGGTATACACATTGACTGCAGATGACTGGTTGGCGAACTGGGTCGTTATTACTACACACAATCTTAGTATTCACAAATTCAACTTGTTGCAGCATCTTCTCTATGACATCAATCAAACCTATCTATACTATTGATACTTGGATTTACACCTAATACTACATTACATCTGAATTTGAAGTGTTTACACCTAATACTACATTACATCTGAATTTGAAGTGTTTACACCTAATACTACATTACATCTGAATTTGAAGTGTTTACACCTAATAGTACATTACATCTGAATTTGAAGTGTTTTCACCTAATATTACATTACATCTGAATTTGAAGTGTTTACACCTAATAGTACATTACATCTGAATTTGAAGTGTTTACACCTAATACTACATTACATCTTAATTTGAAGTGTTATTGGTTACAACTTGTATATAGGATGTAGAGCATGTTTAATATCTACTTCTACATCAACAATATGTTGGAAATCTGAGTAATTGTCATTTCTCAAAATACATTTTAGACTGATCAATCGAAGCTTCATCTTCTTCATGATCAGAAATATAACAGTCTAGAAACTTAAAGTATGAAATCCTGCTAGCTTATATGGATAAAATTAGCAGATAGATTCAAGTTAATCACAATATTTTCAATTACACTTTATTGTTTATAGCCATATAACAAGTTCAGATATATTGGGTGTTAGAGATAGAACTTTAACAATTATGTATGTGAATTGGTTTGTTGATTAGGAAATCTGTATATAGGATCAATACAATAGACTTAAAGATCACTGTAGCCTTATGTTACTATAGCCTGAAATCTCCAGTGCCATATATATTTCCTTTTACTTAATGGGATGATAGATTTAATTATTCATACTTATCTTGTATTCATTAGCAGCATTGATGCTATTGTTAACATCTACAGTAACATTAAAATGCACACAATTGTCTTCCCTTAATATTATCCAACATTTCTTAATGTATTCTCTACAATTTTTGTTCTAACGTTTGATAACACTTTCTTCATAGCATACATTGATTTCAAAATTACACAGTTCAGCATTTGAAACTTTTGCATGAAAAATGTAATATCATTAGATTCTGAATGTAAAAATTTCTATCAATTTATCAACAGATGAATAACCTTTCTGTCTTTGGATGGGGGAGAGGAATTACAGAAATAGTATGTACCATTTCTTCTAAACAATTGGTAAACCTCCACAATCTGATTACTTCATGACTGGCCTACTTATTCACAATTAATTAACAGCAAACACTATCAACTTTAGCAGATACAAAAACTGTCAGTCTGCAATTAAGTATTAGTCTTAATCCACCCATGCCAATGTCTATACAGAAAACTACAAAGTCCTCTTTAAACAAACCAACTAGCAGATATTTATTTTTCATGGATGATTTGTTAAATTATCCATGCTAAGTTTGATAATAAAGTACAATTTATTAATAGACAAGATAAGCATAAGAGGGAAATAAGAGTTATCTGTGAACAAAAGAATGTTTCTGTACTACCATATGTCTTTTATCCACATCAAAACAATCAGAATCAATAACAAATTACTATAATAATGTACAGCAAGTGCAAATCATTATTTGTGGTACTCCTCTTCATGTCACAGTACTGTTATTATAGTGTCTGCAAAACCCACTACACCAAATCCATTTACAAGTTGCACACAATGTTCAACATAGTATACCCCACTTACTATTAAACACTGACAAAAAAACCATGATCAGTGGGTATCGTAAAAGTAAGCATTGTCAATCAAGAAGTGTTTGCCCAACAGATTTTATAGTAGCTTACACAGTACAATTCAACTTCTAACATTCTAGATAAATATACCAAATCATTCTTTAATACAGCTGACAAATACAAGGAAAATATCCCATGCTCAGAGGTATGATAGAAGTAATGTTAAACATGTTAATGTTTCAGCAGTAATGAAAATGGTCTACAATATATAACTTAACATGGTTAAGTTCCAGACCAAAATATCAAATCATTCCTTTATTCAGTTATGTTTAAAAGTTATAAGTAGGGAAAGTCATAGACTGACAGATGGACAAGATCATTGCAGTTTCTCCTTGAGTTGGGACATAATATTGTTTCTTTCCCAGACCTGTTCCAGGATGAATGTATAAATAAACTTACTTCTGTCAATGCATGGAGTTGTCCTTCATGAACACAGACACCAATAAACCTGTAATCAGAAATCTAAATCTATCAGTTAAAGTTTATAATACATTTCTCAACCCTATATATTTCATATACAGAACTGTTCTTTGAAACAGTGATATAAAAAGTATACCTAAATTTGTAAATCATCTTCAGTAAAAAACATTCACATATTTAGAGATATTCATGCAAATAGCATTCTATCAAGTGGTTTTGACAAAGTTTGTTATGTGATGAAATTTGCCTTAGCGATTTAGGTTTCTATACTTAACAAATTTTAAAACTAGATATGGACAATGCCCTCCCCCTTTTCTGCTCTGCCATATGAATGAGTATAGTTCCACATATTTTAGATTTGACAAACAGTGATGTTGGCATACAACTTGAAATTGTTACGCTGTCTGTAAGACACAAATGATGCCCCCGCCTGACCAAAAAAATGACTAAGTCCAACTACCTGTCTTTTTCAGAATATATGAAAAAAAAATCAAAATCCTGTGGACATGCACACCTCCATTATGTGTTTGAACATCCTACAAAATATTAAAGCTGTATCTCCAAAACTGTAGGAGGAGATAGCCGGACAAACCATGATCTCTTTATGCAGCTTGTACCAAAAAAATGACCAAGTCCAACTACCTGTCATTTTCAGATTATATAAAAGAAATCAAAACCCTGTGGCCACGCACACCTCAAATATGTGTTTGAACATCCTACAAAATATAAAAGTTGTACCTCCAAAACTATAGGAGGAGATAGCCGGACAATAATTTATCCTAATCCGGACGGACGGACGAATGGATGGACAGACGGACAGGGTAATTTAATATGCCCCTCGATATTTTGTTGCATGGGGCATAAAAATATCTTAATAAAATGAAATTAAAATTGACTGTAAGAAAACTTGTTCACATGTGAACAGTTTCTTGAAAGGGAGAGGGGTGGTAAATTTTATAAGCAATCACCAATAAGCAATGAACTACTTTGCATAGAAAATATCTACACTTGAATTTCAGACATGAGAATTAACTGAAATCTCAAGTGATGATAAAATCTGTTTGGAGCTTTTGATCAAATGTAATGGAAATGTTTCATTTTTATTTAAGTGATGGAACTAGTATATGTGGAAAAGTTAAATGTATCAAGTGTCTATAGAATTAATAAAGACCTATTACCGGGTACATGTATAATGTTTCAAGGTCTCCTATCAATAAACTATTATAGACCAATTTGAGACGAACAATATGAAACTTGTAGATTTCTAAGGTATGCCTTGCAAAATAACTAGCCCCTATTACAATATGAAAATTGTTACATCATAAACTAAAGTCTCTCACAGAAATTTATATTTAGGTTTCATCAACACTTTTTGCCAATGTTTAAATGAAATCTTATAACTTTATTTTTGTGCCAGTTATATAATTTAGTTGAAGAGCAGGTTATAAACAATTTGCCATCTGATATACAACTTAATGTTCAGTTTTCAAAGATAAAAATGAGGCAGAAATTTATGTAGTATTTTTATGTGTGGGATGGTACAAAATGTCTATAACAAATAGTGATGATTTCATCATTTATTTCATGGTACTTGGAACTAATACATTTTACCAAAGCTATTCATCCTGTTATCTTTAATTGAAGATGAAATGCAAATAAAACATCATAACTTTACCTAAAGGTCGCTTGTACTTTTAATCATCTTGCACTTGAGAAGACTGACAGACTATAAGAAATTTTTAAAAAGTACACTAAAAAACCTAAGGCCTAATTTGAATCCCTAAAATAAATTATCAATTTTTCTTACAGACAACCTGAGAACTACTTTTTCTTTAAATAAGGTTGACATTGCTTAAACAAGGTTGAAGTCTTAAATTAATTTCAAGTAAGAATAGACTAACTTAGAAGATCTCATATCAAAATATATAACTACATGTACATATACATTGTCATTCAAAATATTCTGACATTTAAAAAATCTGAGCTGAACTAAACTTACAGAGACTGGCAGGTTGACAGTAGAATTGCCCAACCCCCAGGCTAATAGTGATTCTGGACATTGAATATAATTGGAGGAGGGGGTAAGCTATTTTCTGAGAACCAGAATAAAAAGCTGATTAGATACAAATGTATATACATATAGGCTTTTAGCATATTTTTAAAGGATCAAACAATAATTTTACAGTCTTAAATAAAAATAATCTGCTTGACCGAGAAACCTTGTTACGGAAATTAACACGATGTTACAAATTATATAATTTGTATCTTTTTATCTTCAAGTGTTAGTCCTACTGTCAAGTGTGTTTATTCAGATCATATCTATATATGTTATAATACCATTATTGTACATGTATAGTATTTATGGATTATTCAAGTCCTGAGTGTCCTGAGGTATATCATGAGAGATGACATCTAGGTGTTTATTCAGATGATATTTATGTTATAATACCAGGATTGTACATGTATAGTATCTATGAATTATTCAAGTCCCTGGAGTCCTGAGGTATATCATGGGAGATGGCTTCTAAATGTTTATTCAGATGATATTTATATGTAATAATATCAGTATTGTACATGTATTTATGAATTATAAAAATCCCAGGTGTCTTGAGGTGTATCATAGATGACATCTAGTGTTTATTCGATGATATTCTTATTTATCTTAGTTTTAGTACTTGTTACTGCAATTTTGAATATTTGATAAAGATGGAAACTCCAGACCTGTATCGCATACCCTGTATCACATTCGTTTTGGAACATCTGGTGACTGTTTTCAGAAATCCTCAGTTGTTATCTGCTTGAAATTTTAGCAGATGACAATGTCAGACATGTTAGCCGCAGTCCGCGGACAGTGGAAATATGAGAAAAACAGAATTCACTTTAACCGTTCCTGAAATTTGTTGACATCGGACTTCGTTTTCCTGACTGTGTTTGCATAATTTAAAACAAAAACTGGTCAAACCGTAATTTGTATGCCTGACATTGGTTACTCGGGGTCAATACAACATGTGATACAGATTTTACCATGTATCATTCTCTATGTAATAACACCAGTATAGACAGTATTGTATAGTATCTATGTAATGTACAAGTTCAAAATGTCCACTAGTATATGATTTGATATGACATCTAGGTGCAATTTCCCTTTTGCATGTTTTGTGGGACAAAAAGCTTAAGATATATACAGTCTAACCATTGGTTCATTAAGGCCTGTACATGTTCTTTGGGTTTAAGCATATAATGCTGGTTATGACTAATGTACATATCTTCATTAGGTTTTGCCTGTTTTTTTAAGATGTTTTATATATTTACATGCCAGAACATTTTATATGTTCGTGGAAACTTTTTTTATTAAGGTCAATTTGAATTGAACCAAGAATAATTGTACAAATATTTCATCTTTTGATTTTAGATTTCGATTTAATGACAGTATATTAACATTTACTGCTAAGGTAAGTTAACATTATGATCTCTGAGATTATATGATTAACCTTCTAAACATATCCCTTATCTGTTTTCAGTCTGTTAGTAATAGGTATACAGAGAGGTTATACTCTAATCTGTTACCCTAGAACATCAATTCAGGAAAATTGGGCATTTCAAAAACCCTATATTCCTTAAAATTAATAATTTCTGACTATTTTTAAGTACATGCATGTCTTGTGACCTTGAAACATTGGTATTGACTATTGACCTGTCTTTCTTGTCAATACTCTATCACCTTGTAGTTACAACAGCTCATCCATGTCAACTTGCAGTATACATATGATGGAGTTTTTCTATAGTCTAACCATCTATTGAAGGTCAATTCACTCAAAGTGTCCAATTTTTATATATATATCTACATAAAACGTATCCTAGTTCTTTTGACCTGTGTTTGTAGGATGTATGTTTTATGATAATACATATATCTTTTTCATAAACCTTATAGTAACCATCACCAGTTATATATAGTGATAGTCATTTTACTGCAACCAAACTTATTTAAGTTATTTATTTCAATTTTATTTAATTTTGCCCATGATGATGATGGTCATTCGAAATTGTCACATTTCTTAAGTAGCATGCATTGGAAAGTAACATGGATCATGCAATTTCAGGATAGACCTGCAGCTGTATAAGCCAGTTAAAAAAAGGTTACTTTTGAAAATTAATGACAAGCTATACAGGTATAAAAATCAAAAGCTCTTGACAAGACATGATTGATGAGGATGAGTTGAAGTAGGACATGTACAATAGTGACAAAGATACAATACTACACCTACTAATAAAATTACAATCTATTAGTGAACAGATGTATCCTGCTTATTAGATATCAATAACTTAATCTGATGTTTGTCACAAGTTAATTGATAAATAGTAAATTAAAGGTACAACATATGTAAGATTTGTCAGGTTAATGAATGGGATATATTGTTATTTTATCAAAATATTGATTAATTGGAACAGATTTTATCAGAAATTTGACACAACCTATCAATAAAAGGAAATAATGAAGTTTTTATCAAAAATATTACATATATTCAATAAAATATGCTATAATAGATAAATCTATTAATCAAGTACAATACAAATTTGAATTTGAATTTAAAAAGTACAATGCACTATGAAATCTAATTTTTTTTTCTCAAACACACGTTTATCTGTATTTGAATCTCATTTTTTATTCATCTGTAGTTGTGTTTTACTATAGGTAAACAGTTCTTACCATAGTGTACATTGGATAATCAGACGCCATGAACAAAAGTGGACACAACCAAAATAACACAGATTATCATTTTTATAATCAGGACCATTAAAATTGTGCATACAGATTCAACAGCACAACATATTCTAGGAGGCCTAGGGACCGTGAGTTTACAACTTTGACAATCCCTCTTTACAGCGCAAGGGTCCACAAAACTTGTCAAAACTCTCTAAATATAAATGACTCCTTACTATGAGCCAGATGTTGACCCTTAATGGGTGATTCTTTTTCTAAATCTTTTTATTCCAGGATTGAACACTGTGGCTGTACAATTATCTATGTCCCCTGCCTCATAAATATGGAATTAAGCTTTATCGATTTCCAATGCCTCAGGATTTGTAATTCCTGTTTCCTACCCAGAAGAAAGAAACAAATTTAGATATATGCTCTCAAGTCCAAAATTTTCCTCTATATCTTTGGCTTCAGAGAGTAATTCTTTTTGAATTGGCAGGAAAATAACTAAAATTCTAGAAAAAAATCATTTGTCTTTTGTTTCATTTAAAAACGATAAAAAGATTTCTTTTGTTTCTAATTCTATGAACAATATTGTGCAATTATTAATTTTTCAATTTGAAATAACCTTAGAATGTTAGGACGTGATAGTCTGTTCATTAGCTGTACTTTACATAACATGTTAGGCCTTAGAATGTTAATATGTGGGCCCGAGGATGTGAAAGTCTGTTCACTAGCTGTACTTCACATTACATGTTAAGACCAATTTCTTACCTTAGAATGTTAGGATGTGATAGTCTGTTCATTAGTTGTACCTCACGTAACATATTAGGACGATTTTCTGAGTTCGTATTCATCTTCAACACCATTACTTGACCAGAAACTTTGTGAGTTACCTATAAGACAACAAAAAAACACATTAGAATATAAAGATGCATTATCTTTTTTAAATAAGTTTCAGTGATATCCACACACATCATCATGTAAACTAAAATTCAATAAAAGAACAGAGTTCCAATGTCCCATGCGTTGCACATATTTTATCTATCCAAGGTACAAGGGCAATAACTAAAAAAAACAACACTTTTTTTTGTCCTTTAAAACTTTTTCATTAATATCTTAGAGAAATGAAGGCTTCAGAGCAAATGCAATGTGATTTCCAAGGGGCATAACTCGTTAAAAATATTTGATCAGCACTTATTTTAAAAAGTGTCAAAGACATTGCTGATATAGAAATCAATGATAATAAGTTTCATAAAATTCTGGCAATAATTGTACACACGAGAGCGCTGACAATGCAATTTTCCATATAATCAATATTTCCAAGGGACATGACTCTTTTAAAAAAATTATTGATTGGCACTGATTTTCAAACTCGTCAAAGACATTACTGATATAAACCTATGATATAAGTTTCGTAAAAAAATCTGGCAAGAATTGAACACATGAGAGCGCTAACAATGCAATTTTCTATATAATTAATGTTTCAAAGGGGCATAACTCTTTTAAAAATAATTGATCGGCACTGATTTTCGAACTCATCCAAGACATTACTGATATATTTACCTATGCATGCTATGATATAAGTTTCCTAAAAATCTGGCAAGAATTGTAAAATGAGAGCGCCAATGATGTAATTTTCCATATAATTAATGTTTCCAAGGGGCAACTCTTTTAAAAATAATTGATTGGCACTGATTTTGGAACTTGTCCAAGACATATTTGATATACACATATGATAAAAGTTTCATAAAAATCTGGCAAGAATTGTACATGTGAGAGCACTAACAAGACAGACGGACACCCAGTATTTCTATGTCCCCTGCAACGTGTTGGGCTGAGACAATAAAAAATCAGTACCATAAAAAAGTTATACACAATCTTACACTTACAATGTACCATGCTTACTGGCAGATTGTAGCACTATGATAAAGAATTCCATCTAAGACTAAAGCTGGATCTTAAACAACTCAATGAAGTTAAAAACACAGGTAAATTTGACCAATACTTTTTTTGTAGTCGTAGACTAAAAGACACTCATAAATGTACTATATCAAGTTACATGATACAATGTATATAATTTAAATTGTGTAAATTAACTTTGCTATTCCTTAATTCCCTCATCTTTCCAATATTCTTTTAAACATTTCTGATAATTTCAATTATTAATCTTCTTGTTTATATGAAAGGATAAAAAATAATATCAATTTTTTTAAATTCTATACATTAATAACCTGGCATTTGTTTTGCTGAGTAACATGTACATAATTTCTATTTTGATCAAACTGGGATGATGGGTTGCTGTCACATATTTTCTTCAATTATACATATTGAACTGTCGAAAATCTACTAAGTATTCTGATGTGGTGAATTCAGGCTTGGATATATAACCTATGTTCAGCATACTTAACAGTACAGTTTAAAGTAGATAAAGTCTATTCACACCTTTTTAACAACTGAAGATAAGATTTTTATTATGTAAATCTTAGTTTCTTTACATATCATTAACATATATTTCACGCATAGAATTTTAAATCCGACCCTTCATGTCATTTGAAAATTTAAATTCTAAATGTGTTTGGACTAAAAATACCATTCATAAAAATTCTTCCCAATAAGATAACTTAAAAGTGATTGTCATCTACTTATATTGTGTCAAGTCACTACCTATACAGTCAATAACTTTCAAAAATATGTTTAAAGCATGTATTTTTCCATATTCCAGAAAGAAAAGAACAACTGAGTTGATAATCATACAATATATGCATGTATATGACAGTACACTGTCAACTGTTGACAACTCTAAGCATCTATGTATGCTAATTTTCAAATAAGAACTGACTGCCCTTTTATATAATAAGTTCAAATTAGAAAAAGATTAGAACTTTTTATATAACAAGATTTTCCCCAACAGCATAGGTTGCACTTCTGTAAATATAGACAATACAATTTCCCATAGGAACTCCCTTTGCGGCTAAAGCTTTGCCACTTTTACTATGAAGTTTCGTAAAAAATTATATCCTAGAACTTAAAAGTTGATGTGCACTACTTTTTTAATCAAAGGTCAAAACATAGGGCTATGCAGCATATTTTCAACATTTATATGCCCCCAACTTCTAAGAGTTTAAACTTATACTAAAATTCTGCACTACCCCTACCTTCACTTTGGGTATTCCTCAGAATTCATTTTTCACCGCTACCATGTGTTTTTATACTGGTAACATTCCCAAGTTATTTCTCTATGAGATGAAACATAGAGATCATATCTGGGAACCAGTACGTAAACAAAACAAAATATCTATGAATATTATATATCTCCCCAAAAGAGGCGTGGCTTGTGAAACAGCTGTATTTACAAAGTGCAACATATAACATTTAAAACTGTAGATATTTTTTTTCTTTAGCTAAAGTCAGAAAAAGTCTTATTGGTCTGCTGTTAACAGTGATATTCAGAACCTTGATCATTTATCATTCACAAATGTATTCATAAATAAGCCCATATCCTACTTCCCCTTTTTCAACTTTTTGCAACAAAAAATAAATTGAAATGTTTAACATTCTAATTTCTATTAAACCAAACAAATGAAAATCATTGTGTAGCCTTTAAGTTGGTAGTTTAATATTTCCTTTTCTTTTCTTTACTTATGTGTTGTTTTCTCAAAGGTGTTTGGCAGAACTGTAGAGATCGGTAACTTCCTGGCAAAACAGTTGAACTTGTCTCCTGTCCCAATGTCAGATTTCATAAATATGTCAGTCATACTATTCTACACTTGCTTTTACAAAAATAAAATATGGCCTTTTATTAAAAGAAAAAGATAAAAAGTAAGTAATAAATACATGTACGATCTACAAACTGTATACTTTCAGTGAAAGGGGTCCATCATTTTGACAGTGAAAACTGCTTTAATTTGTATACAGTATTAATGTAAAATATTGGCAGTCAGTGGAATGTAAAGATTTGACCACTGTGATATAATTCTACTGTCCTTTTCTTTCCTACATTCTCTTAGGTAAGAATCTATATTCTAATTATTAATTATAATTGAGGGAGGAAGGATTAATGAACGGCTACTATTTTGTGACCTTTATTCACCTTTAGGTCAATAATGAGTAATTTATTTGGTAGAAGGTAAACATAAATATCAGTACATTATTTACACATTCCTATAGAACATAGTTACATAGGTACTGACCTTGATTTAGGTGTACCTCCACTAATGTAAGACAGTCGTGTGGGTAGTCTTAATGTCATTTTCTATCTCAACAATTTAGTGCAAGATTGATATATCTATACTGATATACACATGTTTTTTAACTTTCAAACCATCTCTTTTTCTAATTTATACAAATGACCAAATATAAATTTTCTATAGGTTCTTGATGACTTATATATTATAATTAATTCTAATGAAGCATCCATGACAAGCAATACATATGACCAGCACCACATAAGATAAATCTTATTGTAGTATTGGTACATGTATTACAATTAATGTATACATAAAAATAAGATGTGGGATATTTGCCAATGAGAACTCTCCATCAGAGACCAAATGACATAGAATTTGAGAGATCACCAAACTGCACAGTCAGCTTTTAAAGACTCTGAAATGACACACGTAAACAATTCAAACAAGAAAACTGACAGCCTGATCTACATAAGAAACAATATTTTACCATATATTTGTATTTTATCATACAGAGTTGTCATGGTGGGGAATTTTAAAACTTCATTAAAATTAACAAAAAATTATTTCCTTTGCTGTTGGGCAATGATTCTGAGGCCAAACATTGTAATGTATGTACATCAAACAATTACAATAATGGTCAACAAATGACTACATACATATGTATTATACCTATATACATATATATTGTAGGTGTTTGTATGAACTCAAAGGACTCTCTTTATTTTTTGTCAGCCACTGAACTGCAGATAAGTATGTTGGTACAATATACAACAATTATTCTTACATAAAGTCTTGATGTTATTACAAATAATGTAAGAATAGCATTCTTTGGCAGTTGGTGTAGGTGTAATAGAATGCTGCCAACATCAAACAAAATGCTGATTCTTTCCTCTAAACTTTTTACTAATTACTGTGCTTGAATCACAATAAAGCAAACTCATCAAAATTACATTTCTAAATTATAATCTTTGCACTGCAAAATCTGTATAGATATAAGATAGTAATATACGAAGTACATTTTGTAAATGTAATGAAATGTAATGAAATTGTATTCAATTTGACAAATATATCAGCACAACAAATGGCCTTCTTCAGTGTCAATATCTCTATCAAATGTTAGATATCATTTTTTTAGAATTTCTCAAACCCCTAAACAGCCCTTTACAAGCTTAAGCAATCATTCATTTTTTTTAAATTTGCTACCGAACTAACCAAAATACATAACTCCAAAAAACAAAAAACATGAAAAAAGGGAGGGTTATTCATTTTATTCTACTTATTGAACTAGGGTCTCTTAGATACCCTTTTTAAATAAATAAGGTTTACACTGTTAAAGTAAAGAATTAATTATGTAAGAAATCTTATCTACATGTACAATAGGAAATGACTTATTAGCTTACAAGTGCTATTTCTTTGTTATTTGACTGATAATCAACTTCTTATTCAATCTTTTAAAGGTGATAAAAACAATTTCACAAGTTTACCTTAAATCCCTAATCCAGAATTATTTCAAAATGAATGCCTAATTAATATGACATTGTTGAAACATGTAATATTTGTAACAAGTTAATATATACTAACTTTTGAAATGTTCATCTCAAGCACTGAAACTGAGGAAAATATAGATTTATTAAATGCAATCATGAAATTATTGCCAATGAAAAATACATCATTTTTGATTGGGTATATATTTACCCCAGTAAAGGAGTTTTGGGTGCTTGTAATGAGGCACATATCTGGTTTCCCCCTCTCCTTAACTGAACATACATGTATGCACTAAATTAAACAACTGATTTTTTTTTCTAATTTGCACCTAAATCTTTTTACTTGCAACTTGACATCCTACTTAATTTACAATAGAGTATATAAATTTTTTAAATGCTTATCTATCACCTGTATCGTGATCAGGGATTCTTGTAGTAATTAACACTTTGTGTACTTGTACTGTACATGTAATTTGATTCAGAAGACATTTTCAAACTTGAATATTTGTCCATAGGACCCTGGTTACAAGTTATCACATTTCTATCATGTCCATATTCTTAGGTGAAACACAAAATCTGGGTCAAAAGCCTACTTTGGCAAAAAGTTCACATAACACATGTATAATGAACTGATAGTCAACTACAAAATGAACAAGTTGATTTGACTATATCTTCATGATAACCTACCTTAAACCAAAACTTTAACTTTTTGAGTTGATATTGGAAAGACAGACTTTAAAAAAATATGCACCCCCTGCACATGTACATGTAGATGAGGCATACAATTTTTTAAGTCCAAACATAGTTAGAATCTAGAATTTGGAAACTGTTGTGATTCTGGGACTCATCTTAGGATTCCTGCTCATGAACGTAAAATTGTTACCTTCATGACATTACTACCCATGTCAAATAAATGATCTATTCCATTTTGAGATTAAGTGGGAACAAAATATGTGTACATGTACATGTAGTTATTTTTTGTAAATGCTTAGTTGTCTCTAGATATATGGGTCTTAATCTATGTCTTAATCATACACAAAGTTCCTAAGAATCTAGACAGTGTAAGGCTGAAAATATTTCTCTAAAAATAATACTTGTTCACAGGTACAATATACATATTCCACAAAACTTGTCACGATTGACAAAGATTCAGGAGGAAAGGATTAAGACTTTCTGAGTTTCATGTATCTGTGATATACATGTAAATATAAAACACAAAAAAAAATAATTTAAATATTTATAAATTTTCATAAAAAAATTTGAACCCCTGCTTAATAAATGTAATGCATGACAGTTGGCTAATGGCTATTGGGTTACACTTTTGTTCTTGATATGAAATGATATCAAAATGTATTGCGAAATGTCCAGACTATAGCTATGGTCATATTGAAGGAATAGGACTTTTATCACTGCAACCAGAAGAGATTGTTCTAAACATGTACATGTGTATAAAAATAAGATGATGTGGTATGATTGCCAATGAGACAATTCTCCACTAGAGACAAACTAACATACAACATGTAGAAGTTACATTTTGTAACAACTATAGGTCACTGTACAGCCTTCAACAATGAGCAAAATCCATACCGCAAAGTCAGCTTTACATGTACCAAATAAAATATATGGAGTTAATTTGGCTGGTCCATGCCATATCTATTATCACTATTCGTTTTTTCTCATTTAGATGAGGAAAATACTAGGAAGGAACAAAAAACATACATGTACATATAGTACTGTACTACACTGAAACAGGTTGGGGACAACCCACCAAGTGGGAAACTATTCCCCAAATGAGTAACAATCCCTCCATTGAGTAATCATTTGATAGTGCTAAAAACAAAATTTTCTTAGCTGAGTCTTTTTATTTAAAATGGCACTTACACTGTATCTATAGAAATTCTCCCAAAGAACCATGTTTTTATTTTGGGTTTTAAAAAAGTTAGAAGCCTTGAAAATTGTCAATTTTTCACAGATTTCATAACTTGTAACTTCTCAGTAAATCAGGTTAAGACTATTCATCTTTTGGAATATTTGCTGCATTTTTCATGAATATGTGCAATTTCAAGTATAAAATGCGTATTAGAAAAATAGTTTTTTTAACACTAGAAAAGTATCACTCGTTTGACAATTGTTAGAGGGATAGTTACTCATTTGGGGAACTATTCCCAATTTGGTTGGTTGTCCCCAACCTGTGAAATGTATTTCAAAACATTTGCAAAACTAGTATGTAACTTTTTGTTTCAAATTTAAATTGAAATGTGAAGAGATCGATTACTGGGAGGCCTGAAATTTTTCTGGTCACTGTCAGGATTAAGATTCGGCCCTGTAGCTGTACTTCACATAACATGTTAGGAAAAGTATTGCATGAGTTCAAATGTTCAGGAATGAATGTACTAATTAGTAATATGATTTTTTTAAATACATATACATTTTGTTAGAAATCAAAAATATTATAGAAAACAGGCACCAAGAAAATGTCAATAATTAACAGAGACATACAAATGTCTGTTATTCAGACACAATAAGCAGTGATTAGGTTTTTTGTGCGAGCATGAAATATATTTGAAATGAACATCAAGATCCAAAGTATTTGAATTTGGCTAGGACTATATTGAATCTTCAAAAGAATACTTTTAAATATATATTGGTGCAAGAATTTGATAAAAAAAAACAAGCTGGATTGATAATAATGTGATAAGTCGTATTTTCAATCAAATTCTGTGTACCATTTATAAATTTTCAATATTATTATTATATAAAGATTAAGAATCAAGAATATGACTTCAACTTCAAATTGGAGTAAGCAACTATATACACATGCACAGCTCTTCATGTACCTTGAAAACTTCTGCAAAAAATCCATGTCCTATTTTTTCATGAATGAAATCATCTAGTCTAGTAAGCGACGAGACAGCATGTCGTAGAGCTCGACAAGATGCCCCAGGGGCACGGGATTTTAAGACTGGAGATTCTTCCTCTACCTCTGGGAGGTTGCAGTTCAGCAGAGATTCTGACGGAGACATATCACCAAAACTACTAATAGCAATCGTTCTCGATCGTTTCATGTGGCTTCTACAATTGGTCATAACTTGACTTATATCCTTCATCACCCAACTATCTACATCTTCGTCTGCTTAATATCCCTGTATGAATATAAATTTGATAGGGGAAGTTGCAGTGTGAAAACTTCCAAGGTGATTTTCCTCATTTCTTTTTCCCTGTAATAAACACTGCATTTAATTTTGTGAAAATGAAATCATTTTGTTATATTGAGAATTACTAATTCCCTTCTAGAGAGTGTCATTGTACACAGAACGTAATCCGTTACAAAACACAACCATTTGTGTGCAGATCCTGTTCTCTTCTGACTTCATTTTGATTGTAAACTTTCTGTTGCATTATGGGTAGGAAGTGCTTTGATTTATTTTCGCGGTAAAATGTGAAATCATATGATTTCCTGAATGTTAATTATTTAAATATCTGTGCACTGGCGGTTCCAGAGGGGGGGGTCTGATGGTTGGAACCTCCCCTTTTTTGACGATCAATGCTATTGAATTGGGACATATGGTTGGCACCCCCCTTTATCCTGGGTTGGAACCCTTCTTCTTCCTGGTACGGGAAAGACTCCGTTGCCGGAGTGTGGAATATCCCGGAACTGTGGCGCTTTGTACATGCAAATGGTTGTCGAAAATTGTGTTATAATAAAATAAAATATTTGCCACAGTTCAATTACAATTTTAAATAACATTAGTTGAAGCTTAATGTTAAACATGTTAATATTATGTACAGTGGCTTAATAAATACACTAATTAATTAGCCAGGTTAATTAGAACCTCCAAATGTTAGGGTGGACTGAGATACCACCTTTGAAGGATTCTAGGGAGGGTGACATGCAAATTGTTTCTGGGAGATCGTTCCAGACAGCAATAGTACTTGGGAAAAAAGATGATTTAAAAAAGTCTTTATTTGTATATATATACCGGAATTTATGTAGGCCTCTAGTTCGCCTGTCAGATTGTGTCGGGACGTCATTAGTGACGACCCCCCCCCCCCCCCCCCCATTTAATCTTTTAAATCAAAACAAGCTTAGCTTTTGTTCTACGGGATTGTAAGTTTTCCCATTTTAGTTTGTTTAACATACCAGTGACAGCGCCTGGTGATCTATCGTTACAATCATTAAAAACATATCTTGCTGCCTTACGCTGTATCTGCTCAATTTGGTTTATTTGGTTTTGTTTGTACGGATCCCAAACTGGTGAGGAGTACTCGACGGTCGGAGGCACAAGTGATGTGTACGTAAGGTTTTTAACCTTACGTGTACAGTTTTTCATGTTTCTACGTAAAAAAGCCTAGTGTTTTATTTGCCTTTGAAGTTATATTATTAATATGGGGCCCCCAATCAAGATCATTGCTTATTGTAACTCCTAGATACTTGCTGTCTTTGACAGATTCAGGTACATGATTATGTTAGTTTTTGACTTTTAAGAAATATTTATGACATAGCATTTTTCAGGATTAAATTTCATTTGCCATTCAGATTCCCAATTTTCAAGGCTTGATGGATCTTTTTGGAGTGCTTGAGACTCATTTATATTATTTGATGTTTTATAAAGTAAACAGTGGTCAGAAAAGACGAACCTTACAGGAGACATGCTCAGGTAGGTCGTTTATGAATAACAAAAATAAAGTAGGGCCTAATACTGTGCCCTGAGGGACACCAGAGTCAACAGCTAATTTGGAAGATTGATCACCGTTAAGCAGGACTTGCTGTTGCCTGTTTATCTTTTATCCAAAGTAAGTTATTTTCACGTATACCATAATAATTAAGTTTTGTTATTAATCTTTCATGGGGGACCTTATCAAAAGCTTTAGAAAAATCTAAAAGTATTGCATCAACTTGATTACCTTCTGCCAAGTATTTGGCTATGTCCTGGATGCTGATAACATGTTGTGCTTCACAGGAACGTTTACTCCTAAAGCCATGTTGGCAATCATTTAAAATATTATTTAAGTCTAAACGTTTTCTAATATTACTTGTTAAGAGGTGTTCTAAAACCTTACAACAGATAGCCGTTAAAGAAACCCCCTTTTAAAAATGGTTGGATCCCGGTCGCCACTGCTGTGGTCAATAAAAAGTTACCCAATGTTTAGTTCTTGCTCGGAATCTTTGGAAACACCTTTCGGATAGTGTCGTGCATGCAAGACTTAGTGCTGAGAACTACTATAACAAACACATTTTTCAGTTTCTAAAGTTCATTGGTTTTGACAAGGATTTGTATAGTATACAAAGTCAAATCATTGGTTTTGACCATGTCTGGAATAATAAAGAAACACTGTCAGAAGGAAAACTCATATCTGCAGTGAAATAATAGATTACGAGAAAGATATGAAATTATTTCTTTTCACGTTTGTCAGGTAAAGACCAAATGAAATTACATACATATTACCGAGCAGATTTGTATATTTTAAAAGAATGGAAACGCGGCTCGAGATCAATCAGGACTCCCGCGGACCGATAATTTATGTCTGTTTTAGCCTGGCATCCTGACCAAATCTAATACTTCGTCAGGCAGTGAGCCAGGATCACAGGCTATGTCTGTTTCGGTCAGAAGTATGGTAAATAATACAATGAATCGGAACGGAGGTCCATTTTCTGTTATATTTATCGGTCAACTAAATTCACAGGGTCATCTTCCTTGAAAAGATATAAAGGAGGATAAGATTCAAGATTCAAGATTTTTTTAACCAATCATGGACCCTCAAGGGGCATACATATAAAATACAACAATTTCACAATGATTATCATAGCATAACAAATTATTAAAGGTACATTGGTAGTGCACAAATATTTGTACTTAATGAGGCAAAAAATGTATATATTGTATAATACTACCATGGAATATGACATAGTTAATATTATAGAAAAAACAACGGATATGGGGTATCCATCCATGACACAAAATCAGTACATGCACAGCAAAAAAACACACAATAAGCAAAGGAACAACGCTTTTATTGCTGTTCTTCATCTCAAAGTCCCAGTGAGGCCTTCAACACGGAACAAAACAAAAAAACTCTCACCTCACTGCAAGTTTAAGACGGCCCCTAGCATAGTCATTAACCATATAAATCTGTTAAGAAATGACAAGTTAGAAAAGGATGGACATTCTTTGGTAAAAGAGTCAAGAAATTTTTTTCTATGCTGATTAAAAAAAGAACTTTGTAAAAGAAAATGTATTTCATCCTCAACATCATCAGAGAAACATCTGTCACATATTATTTCTTCACAATGCACACTTGGTTTGGTGTACCGCCCAATTTTAACCTTTAACTTATAGTTCCGCGTTTCCATTCCTTTTTAATATACAATTCCTAGATATTACCGGCTAAAAAGGAATATAACTGACCTGAGATTTATACAAGTTGAATGTCTCGAAATAATTTATTAGACAGTTTTGTAAATTAAGAATGTTTAACCATAATTTACACAACGAAAAAGACAGAAATAATAATACACCCTTGGGTCAAAGAATATGTAAACATTACATCAGACGTCAATATAGAAAATAGTGCTCCTTCCACTTGAGACTGTGAAACATCTAGTTTTAGAAATGTTTCCTATGGTCATGTCATTACAGGAGACCTCAACATCATCGAAGACCGTAAGGTCAAAACTTTTCTTAAGAAAGGACCTAAATATCGTCCTCCATCTACAATAGATTGGAAACAGTGTCGCCAGGTCATTAAAGACGCTCTACTGTCAAAATTGGTGTAAACGTGAAAAATCGGATAAAAAATCTTTAGACAGTTATTTGAATAAAATTATGAATACTGTTGATATTCGTATATCTCATTTTGAAAACAATTCTGAAATTAATAATATGGTCGATGCATGATTTACCCATTTCTAGAATAAAAAAAAAGCTCCAAGTACTCGCAAAGCGGTTTGTGTTCGTACCGGCAGACAAAGCAGCCAATAATGTAGTGGTGGTGTGACGCATATACTACACGGAAGTTCTCCAAAACGAAATTATCAATTCTTCTACATTCAGGTCCGTACGCTCCACAGAGAGTCAAATTGTAAACAAGCATATCACTGCCACTACCCAGCTTAAAGCCTCTTCCGAACATTTGAAAGTTCCGACTATGTACTGGTTACCTAAATTACACAAACAACCATTTAAATTCCGTTTCATCTCCGCATCTAGTAAGTGTTCTACTACTAATTTGTCAGTGCTTCTAACTACATCCCTTACTTCTATCAACGAACTTGTTATTAACTTTTTTAATAAAGCTTATGAAAATAATGGTATTAATTATTTTTGGAGTGTAAAAAATTCTTTAGAAGTTTTAGATAAAATAGTACATGCTTTTGATGTTGCTTTTAATTCTGTTGACAGTTATGATTTTTCTACTCTCTACACTACACTCTCACACAATCTTGTCAAGAAACAGTTTTCATATTTAATTAAATGGTCTGTTGAAAAATCTCATTGCAAATTTATTTGCTCTAACTCGTTTAAAGCCTTTTTCTATAACGATAAAGGAAAGTATGCTAGATACACTTACTGGAAATATGAAGATATGATTGAAGCTTTAAATTTTCTCCTGGACAACATATACGTACGTTTCGGCGATAAAATGTATCGACAAGTAGTAGGTATTCCTATGGGCACTAACTGCGCCCCTTTAATAGCAGACTTATTCCTGTATTGCTATGAATCTCAGTTTATGACCAAAATCAGTAAAGACACGTCATTGCTACATTTGGTTGATACATTCAACAATAACTAACGTTATCTTGATGATATTTTTTCGTTAAATAATCCAGAGTTCTCTAAATATACTACCCAAAGGAAGTTACTTTAAATTAATCTAACATAAACAGCAGTAGTTGTCCTTTTCTAGATTTAGACATTTCAATTTCTAAAGGGAAACTCCATACTAAAATTTACGACAAAAGAGACGATTTTTCATTCCCTATTGTTAATTTTCCTTTTTTAGACGGCGATGTTCCTTTGGCTCCATCATACAGTATTTATATATCCCAACTCGTTCGTTATGCCCGTGTGTGTAGTGATGTCATAGATTTTAACGAACGTAATCAATGCATCACTGGTAAATTATTAAGTCAGGGATTTCGTTACCATAAATTACTTGAAACTTTTACTAAATTCTTTCATAGATACAAAGATTTTTTCAGTAATTTGGCTGTACCTGTAGAAAACTTATTAAAAACGGTAAAAACGTACATTTTACGGTAATATTAGACTAAAAGCAACGAAATCACTATGTGGTCCGTGTAAACTCATCGAACCTTTAAACAAACTTATTAGTAAATGTTATCTTACCAATGTTGTAATTAGATCTTTGAATATAATTTACAT